CTAGCGTGGTACTGGCAAACCTAGAAATACAGATCAATGCAATAGACATGAGATATTAGCGTACACCCTCAAATTTATGGCCATATGATTTTTAAGAATGGGGCTAAGACAGTGCAATGGGGGAAGAAACAGTCTTCAACACATAGTGCTAAGGCAACTGGATATCCATATGCAAGAGTATGACACTGGATCCCCACCTCACACCACTTTCAAAAGTTACTGGGTCACATACTTTAATGTAAGTGCTAAAACTATAAAATTCTGAAGAAAACAGAGTAGCTAATCTTTGTGACCCTGGGTTAGTTAATGACACAACAGTACAAGTGACAAAGGAAAAAACAGATAAATCAAACTTCATCAATATTAGAAACTTTTGTGCTTCAGAGGACACATTAAGAAAGCAAAAAGGTAGCAGCCAGGAGCTGGTTGTTCATGCCTATAATCCCAGCTACTCAGGAGGCAGAGATAAGGAGGACTGCAGTTCAAAGCCAGCCCAGGCAAATAGTTCATGAGACCCTATCTCAAAAAAACCCATCACAAAAAAGGGCTCACGGAGTAGCTCAAGGAGTAGCCTTAAGTTCAAACCCTAGTACTGAAAAAAAAAAAAAAAAAAAGGAAAAAGACAATCTACAGAATAAGAGAAAATATTTGCAAATCATATATCTGATAAGAGACTTGAATCCAGAATATATAAAACTCACCACAACCAACAATAAAAAGATAACTCAATTAAATACAGACATATCACCAAAGAAGAAATATAAATGGATGATAAACACACGAAAGGCTGTCCAACCATTAGCACTGGGGAAATGCCAAATGCACCAGCTCCTGTCCTCCAGGATGGCCATAATCAGAGGTAGAATGGCAAGCGCTGCTGAGGATGTGGAGAAATGGATGGTAGTGCTGGGAGCTACTTCAGAAAAGAGTCTGGCAACTCCTTAAGTGTCTAAACACAGAATTACCATATAAGCCAGCAATTATACTTCCAGAATATACATATATATGTGTGTCATATACATATACATCCTCACACATGCAAATGCATACATGAACTGTAACAGCACTATGAAGAATAGCCAAAAGGTGGACTACAACCCAAATGTCCACTAATGAATGGATAAGCAAAGTATGGTGCATCAAGATGAGGGCTATTTGGCCATATATGCTACAACGTGGTTTACCTTGACAGCGCTATTAAGGAGAAGTCAGTCACAAAAGGCCATGTCTTCAGTTACATGAGATGTCCAAAACAGGTAAATCCACAGAGAAAGATTAGTAGCTGCTTAGAGCTGGGAGGGTGGGGAAATGGTAGTGATGCTAATGAGAAGAGGGTTTCCACTTAGGGTAGTGAATATGTTTGAAACTGACTTCGGTGATGGTTGAGTGACTCATTAAAATACTAAATTGTGCAACTGAAATTACTGAGTTACGTGGTATGTGAATTCTAGCTCAATAAGTCTGCTTAAAAGATAAAAAACGCACTTAAGAATATGGGGAGGGGCACCTGTGGGGCCTGCCCATTCAGTGAGTGTTGCCTTGCAACCTGGTAACAGCTTATATCTGCCCTTAACACCAGCTCTTATTCTGAGCCCTGATCTTGCTGGTGAGGATGAGCAGACTGGAGCTGAAGACTGAGAGCTACAGGACAAGAAGGGACCTCATTTACCACAGCCCTCAACGTGACAAGAATCGTTGACAAGAAAGTGGGAGTTTTAGTTCTGGCCGAGATGGTGGAAGCCCACTGTTCCGCCTGCGGTATAACCACCACTCAAACCTCTGGATGAAATAGGACTGGATCACATCTGGGGACTCTGCAGGGCATACTCAAGCTGACAGGCTGTGGGGGAAGAGTCCACCCTGGAGGAGTGGCTGTGAGGGGAGGCAGCCTTGCCCAGAAACAGGGGCTCTAAAAGCAGAACCGTGTGGTGCGGGAAGGCTAGAACTGACAGAAACGCCATCTCTCCTGACCAGAGGACCCAACAAAAGCAGCCCTTACAGTCCAAGGAGCAGGGGGTGGGAGTTTTTGGGGAGTTTCCCCTCTCTTCTCCTTTGTGGCTTTGCCCCAAGCACAGCTCCCAGTATGGAGCGGGGTGGTGGAATCATCTCAGGCAGGAAAAACTGATAGAAAGCCAGACCAGGGAAAGGAGCCCCAGAAGGCAGGGAAATGTAAGGACAAAGAGGAGACAGAAGAGGATTCAGGGACAGGAGTCCCGGGCTCGTCCCAGAGTGTGTGGGACAGATCGAAGGTGGTTTAGCCAAGGCTCTGAGTACTCAACTACAATTTAAGTTCTGCGTGGAGATGCGCAGGACAGAAGAAAACAGCGCAGCGGAGGCTGTGGAACCTGAACTACTGCTGGGCCCCTCCCATGGAGAGCAGTTAGTACCTGTGTATGAACCTAACCAGGGCCACTGCTTGCTAAAAAACCAGTGTTCTCTGGAGGTGTATTAACACCAGGACCCAGAGTACACAGCCCAAAGTTACCTGATATATCTTAAACTAAATGAAAGAGGAAAAGGTGACCCATCATCAAGGGAAAACGCAGGTCACAGAGGTCGAGCACAAGGCAGCCCAGATTCCGGGGACCATCATCAGGGTTAGGAGCCCCTACTGTACCTGTACCCCATGAGGTAAGTAAAACAAATGAAAGAGGGGGTTCTCAGCAAAGAAAGGAAACTATACAAAAGAACTAAATGGAAATTTCCAACCCCCCCAAATACAAAAGCTGAACAGCAGAATGGAGATGAAGGGATTGGGAGAAATCGCACAGTCTGAACACACACTGAAGATCCACACTGATTAACTCTCTTGCAAATCCCCCTGCCCCTCCTCCTTCCCTCCCAGCAAGGGAGGGGCTCAATCCAACAGGACTCCTTTCCACCCTAACCCTCCTCTCCTTTCAGCAGACTGTGGTTTTCCATTTTTGTTTTTGTTTTCTGGGAAGGGTAACAGGGTATTTTTTCCATTTGTAATTTAAGCCTGTTTTCCCCCCAAAACAAAACTGCTCATAAAATTCCATGCATGTCTGCTAACTACTACAGTGGCTTTCCTTACTTTAATGGCAAATTATTTTTATCTTAACCTGAGAAAGTTTTGAGTCTATTTTATTCTCAAGTTATTTATAAAGCACCAAGAGAATGCAGTGGAAATTAAGTTTTTAAAATCAAATAGCGGTCCCAGGGTTCTTAAAATTTCACCAGCCATCATTAAGACACAGCCAAGGACCCAGCTGTCCTCACAGTGTCTGACCCCTTACTCCTTGTGAAATAAAACACAAACTACAAGCCTGGGTATACATCTCTAATGAGATCTTACTCATAGCACTAAGAATCTTTGGGGAAAAAGGTAAGCCTTCTCTCCAAATTGAAGTATAGATTTATTATTCTTTCATTTTTCCAGATGTGTAAGTTTTATTTAAATACCAAAACTTTTTTTTCCCTTTTTTTTGGTTTTTTGAGACAAGGTCTCACTGTGTACCCTACCCTGGCCTCCTGATCTACCTGCTCATGATTCCTCACATGTGCTGGAATTATAGGCATGCACCACCACACCTGGTTCTAAAAATCAAAGCATCTTTTAACTGATGGCTGGATGTGCAGCTGCCGTGGTCCTGACTTTCTGGCTTTAACTGTTTCCCTTGAGCTGACCTAAGTTAGGCAGAAAGCAGAGGTCTCTTCTCGGGAACACCGTCTTGGTTTCCCATGAGCCTCACTGCAAACTGGACATCTAAATGCTCATGCTGCAAACAAACTCTGAGGCATAACCTACAATCCCAAGCCTTAGGACTTGGAAGTCCCTAAGAAGCTCCTTACTCTCTTTGAAAACAAGTAGCTGCTAGGACCCTGTCTGGAGACTCTATTAAGTAAACTCAGGGCAAACAGTTTTGTTTCATTTGCTGTGCCACATATGGGGGCCACTAGCAAGCCTCGCTTTTAAGAGGCAAACTGCCTTGGGCACACACTGAGGTAGCCCAGAGCTCAGCTCAGAAGCATCAGAATATTAGCCGCTTTAGGAGGCCTTGAGAAAGAATGATGGGGTACGTTTTCTCCACAAAGCATACCGGGTTAGCTCTTTGCTCTGAGCAGTTGTGGAAAGCTAGCAGGTGAAGGTTGGGCTGAAAGTATTATTTGATGAAGTAATTACTTTTGCAAGCTGCTGCAGTCGCGGGACAGGGGTCCGGGACTTGGCGTGAAGGAATACCCGCCTCCTGAGCTGATACCCACTGCGAGCAGCCGGCCACCTGCAGCCCAGGGCCAGGCCCAAGGGAGGGCGCCAGAAGCCCCTGGCCTCTAGCCACGCTACCTCTCTTCAGGGAACTGGATCAGACACAGCAGATAACCAGCCAAAAAAAAAGAAAAAAAGCAGAAAGAAAATGAAAATAAAAGACAAGGGGAGAGAAGCAGGGAGGAGGAAAAATCTACAATTTGGAATGGAAGGGTCTTTTGAACACTTTAATCCTTTCGTGCTGATGGTTCCTGGAGCGTCCATGGTTGGCACTGGAACCCGTGCCGGGAAAATCCAACTCCCTAAGCCAACACGTTCAAGAGAAGGCTGCTAATCAGCTAAATAGGAACTGGAATCTGTTCACATCGAGTCTCTTTCCCCTCGCCAGAGGGACACCGTGGTGTTCTGAAACACACTCTTGACATCATTTGGCAGGCAACCCTATTTTGTTGAACATGATTCATTCCTAGGTTATTGTTTTTAATATTAGGAAGTGAGCTTTTAAATGCCAAACAAATTTTGCAACAGGGGACAAAAGATACTCCAAGTGGTCTCAGTGGACCTTCCACCAACTGCATCCACCAACTGGCTGAAAAGAAAACTGCCCCGTGGTGTTTCAGAAATGAAGCAGAGACACAACTAGATCCAACGATTACCTAACTCAAGGCCCTGCTCTCAAGTCAGAGAGCTCATGGACCCAACTCAGGTGGGAAAGCTGCAGCGTGAGAGGCAGAGACTGGCCAGCACACTGGAGGCTGGGGAGACTCAGACATACCTCCTGTCCATGTTGCCACTGACCATGAGGTTGGGAGGACTGTCCCTGAGGTTGACGCACGTGAAGTCACCAAGTGCATTACCCAGCTTCGACAGGCAGCGTTCTGCTTCCAGGCTGTATACCAGGATCTGATAGAGGAAGAAACATATGTGGGTGTGCAATTCCATACATCAGATGGTCATCTGACACTCTGCATTTCATCATCATTAAGGGTGTGAGTGTTCCAAAACTCAGTTCCTGTAAAAGATGTCTGCTTCTTTATCTCCTGGCCACTTCCAGGTCACTCACAGTACAGCAATATGGCCACTCAAATGACAAAAGGAATGAGAACGAGTCATTGACTGCTCCTGATATGGAATGAATGGGAATAGTACCAATGCTGGGGAAACTTGCAGATGAACTGGTGTGGGATTTTTTTTCCTGATTTACACCGTGTAAGGCAAAGGAAAGAATGGTCCAAGGACCCAGAAAGATGAAGCTGCCTGGCTACCAACACATTGGATGGTTCCTTTAGACAAGACTGTACACCCAAACACGCACTCTTCTCCAACTCTCCTGGAAGAAGTTCTGTTCTCTAAGTGTGAAAGCAAAGCAGTGCCTTTGATCTCTAGACAACGTAGTCATCATCTACAACAGTTCCATGCCTTTTCTCAGCAAAAGGGGAAATAAAGGATGATTTGTGAGGAAGCTTTCTGAAAAGTCTTTTGCTAAAAAGAAATTTACTAATTCAACTCAACTCAATGAATATTAAATGCTTGCTGTGGATTGTGGTGGCAGGTGCAGAAGAAAAGTCCTTGCCCCTGAATTTATAGTTGGAAACCCTGCTCAGTAAAGACACGCTGCCTTCTGAGCACACCGTCTTTCCACCGACCATTGTGGAACTCACAGACTTTAATGCTAGTGTTCTGGGGAGAGTCTTCAATATGTGGAAATAACATGCTCTCCTTTTCTTGGTAACTTATGTGTTCACTTGTCCATGTAGATTCCTCTGTTGGCAATGAGAAATTAGTAACAAATTAAATCATCTCTACTTTGAAAGCCATCATTCTTCCTTTAGCACACATTTCTGACAAATGAATCTCTGGAAATTCCTGATGGTTGAAATACCACCATAATACTGACTGCACTGGGAAGGAAAGACGGCAATTTCAGAATCAAAATGCCTCCTTCATCCATACAGACCAGGGAGAGCAGGCTTTTACAAACGAGTTCTGACTCAGAAAAGCCTAACAATTCTAAAGCAACCAAAAAAAGATTATTCTTCCAAGTAAGAATATAGAAATAATCAAATTTTCTATCTTCAGCAAATAATCTACAATTTACATAAAATTTTCTTCTTGGAGGAAGAATAAATTTACAACAGCAACCTGATGGTGTATCATAAACATAATGTTCTGTGACTATTTCAAAATAGCTAATAGAGAAGCTCTTGGGTGCTCTCAACACAAAGAAAAGCTAAGTGTCTCAGGTGCCAGGCCTGATCCCCACACCCTGTGCACATATGCAGACACCACTGTAACCCATGAATATGCACAACTGCTGTGTGCCAATTTGAAAACATGTGTTCATTTAAAATGAGCATTGTGTACCTACTTATCATTATAGAGCTTTCAATATTTTGGACTCAATCTTTTCTTAAAATACTTCAACTTCTGTAGCTGTAAAATGTCCATGGTAAATATAAGAACTAAAATCTGATACCAAGTCAGTATGTCTTTACTTTTTCTAGAAGTTCTTTTTTGACAAGTGGATGAAACATCTCTGAGTGATACAGGAGATGTAATCCCTCCCAGAAAGCACTCTGCAAATTCATCACAAAGACATCTAAGTCAGCAGTCAAGTCTTTTCTAAAACGTTCAATAATTCAACGAGTCAGACTATCTGAGGAGTACCTTCCCCATTGCTGTTTAGTTAAAGACCACAGAGATTAGAAAACACATTACCGTCTCAAAGGCAGGTCTTCCATGTTACAAGTCCCTTAACGACCGTTACCATGGCCCCTCCCTCCTGCACTCTCTTTTAATAAGGTTGAGCAAATGGGACTTCATTTTATCTGATTGCCACAGACTAGTGAGATTAATTATTCATGCTCACACTCTCCCTCTTGTTAAGACCATGCATTAGACTAATTTTTCTCTTTATTGCCGCAGTTGGGCGAGTTGAACCCAGAACCACTTGGTTCATTCTCAGAGGTGTTCAGATACGCTGGAAAGGAGGAAAAACTCCCCACAGCTGCTGTTGTGGAGAAAGTGCTCTGCACTAATGTGACCACCAAGTCAATCGCTGCTCTTGGGGAGTTCTCTTCAGTACCACGTCTGTTACGAGAGAATTTAAGCAGTGATTACAGAGCAAGTTCATACTGGCATAGCATTATTCTTCCAGAATTATCCCGAACATCTAAGCCGTGCTGAGACTGATGTGAGCTCCACAAAGACAGCTACAGGGAACGTCATGGACACCAGGAGGTTTCCCCTTTTCTTTGGCTTCTAGGTAGATGTAGAAAGCACTATGTAGACAAAAGCATCCTTTAAAAGGAATGCTGTCAGAAAATTCTCTATTTAGGTTCTTCTTCCCGTATAAATCTTAAGTTATTTCTGATAAATCCTAGCTTTAGACTCTTAGTTTTCAATTTTATCAGTTATTCTGATTTCTCAGAAATCTATTTATATTTTTTCTGGTTTCAAATATAGTGCATCTTGTAATAAATCTTACCATAATAGTTACATAGCAAAAGAAAGCAGTAGCCAACTGTACATCCATCCCTCAGGAGTAACCATTTTTAACAGTTTGCTGTGTATGCTTTTATTGTTTTAATTTAATTTGATTTTGGACTGGGGATTGAATCCAGGGCCTTGCACATGCTGGGCAAGTGCTCTACCACTTGACCCACGTTCCAGCCCTGGTGTTTTCGTTTCTGAGACAGGGTCTGCTAACTTTGTCCCAGCTGGTCTCCAACTCCCAATCCTCTTGCCTCTACCTCCCAAGTACCTGGGATTACAGATGCACCTGGGAGTACATGGTGCACCACCATGTGGCTGTTTCAGATTTTTTAATGCAAATGTATGTTTTTCTCTTTATTATATATGTGCATAAAATGTTTTTCTGCGTGGAACTGACTTATTACTCATTTTCCCACTTGTCAGTACCTGCAGTTAAATCTCATCCTTTTTGAATGGCCACACAGAATTTCTGTGCATACATAATTCCATATTGATAGATATATGGGTTGTTTCTAATTTTTTTTGATAAAATAATGTCATGATTCATACAACAGCCAGGTGATAAATGCTTATTAATTACCTTCTACGCACCAGGTACTAGAGTGACCAGGGCTAGCGGGGGATGTGTAGAGGCTACAGCTTGTTGCCAGCTGAAAGGTGCCTCTTCACCAGATGCTGCTGCAGCCAGCAATTCTGCTCCTGGGACCTGCCTCTATGGAGAACACCAAGTTACCCTATAGCTGTGTCCTAGCAGCTGGCATCTTAGCAGCAGCTGCATAGTTAGGAGGGAAGCAAAGACTACAGGTCTAGGTCTGAGCTGTGACTGGGACGTTCAGGGTGCCTGGATGGTGCTGCTTTCCCACTGAGCCATGATGGACAAGGCTGGAACATGGGCAATTTCAAAGCAGGCCAATTCCTCCTTACCCAGCAAGAACAGGATTTAGCACTGTGCACTCTTCTGGAATCTGGGACTACCAAGATCTCTTAAGTAAACATGGGGCTCTTGCATACAGAAATCCCTGTGGAGATTATGGTCTTGTCTGTCCTAGAATTTTGCTCCTCTATTGATGAACCAGGAAGGGAACTCCATGCATGTTTTCTTTAGGTTTACTGGAAGGCCTCAGACCAACAACAGCTCACTTCAGAATCTGAGCACTGCCTTTCCAAAGTCAGGAGTAAGCAGAGGCCTCCTACGAAGACTACAAAGACTACAAAAAGATGGTTTGTCCACTACCATTTAAGAAAAGAAGTGAGAAAGAGAGTCACAGGTTAGGAGATGCTGGACTAGACTGGAGCAGACTGGAAGACAAAGGCAAGAGAGGAAGACCTGACTGAAAGTCTTGGGGACTGTGGACACAGTCTTCCCACCTTCCGTCTGCTCACTGGTAGCCCTCCTCCATCACTACCACGTACATCTTCTCCCCTTAGGGGAAAAGTCATGATCAGAAGCCAAATTCTGGAGCATAAAGCCAATAAACCTCATGTTCTTTTCCACCCACTCAAGTGTGCTCTGCTCTCTTCTCCTCAAAGCCCTCAGCACACAGAGTTCTTCCCTCTCGTCAGGGTGGGAGATATTTACTGTCTGCACACTTCATCTGCTGTTCCCACAGGCCATCTCCAACTGTGTATTATCTTCCTCTGACTCTTTCCCAGACATGACTCTCAAATACCGAGGTAGGACAGACCTTGAGGAGACTATGACCATAGCAGTTCAGGTGCAGCTGTCCCCAAGTATTGTACAACATGCTAGAGAATGCGCTCTAAGACTTAGGCTGTAAGCTCCCTGTAAACACGGTAAGCAGAAATCCTGCTATCCATTCATTTGTTCATTTGTTCATTCAATCACTCATGCAGCAGGTAGTGCTTGGATTTGGGTTTGGAGATGACTGACTGGGACTTGATAACAGGCAAAATCGGAGTTTACCTCAGTTTGGGATCTATAACTAGGGATATTCCTATCATAAGTTGCCTGGTTTTGGCAGTACTGGGCTTTGAACTCAAGGTCTTGAGTTTGTTGGACAGGCACTCTACCACTTGAGCCATACTTTCAGTCCTCCTTTTATTGCTTAACACGTTCCTCCACTCCTGGATGTTTGATCTTGCTCCTGGCTTATATAAAGGAACTGCTTCATCCTTCCACAGATGTCTCTTTATAACATACACATCCTATGATAGGACCTTAAAGTTCATCCACCCCTAAAGTCTGCTGACAAGATGGCAGACAAACACATCTGGAAGGCAAACACTGAAAACCCTGGATCGCAGACTCAGTCTGCCATCAGACAGTCCTCCAAACATTCTGTTCACCTCACAAGTAATCAGAGAAATTCATAGGAGCCAAAAATGATGGGAGCACTGGAACAGGAAAGGTACGAGGTACCAGGCCAGGGCTAGCCTGGGGACAGCTG